AAGGCGGATCTCATCGGCGGTGGTTTTGTCAAGGCGGCGGAGAGTGGGCTCAGTGGCTTGGATAATCTCTTCCTTGGGCAGGGACCGCGGAGTGAGCGCAAAGTTCAGGCCTAGGGCAAGAACCTTTTCCTCGCCAGAGGATAAGGAGCGCTTACTCATGTCAAGAAATATGTTGACCGGGTAAACCTTGGCCAGAGTTTGTACACAATTAAGACACTCAGTATTACACTCAATATCAATGGTTGCTCAGATATACAAGGAATTAGCAGTTGGTTTCACGTTTTCTTTCAGCAGCAAGTGGGGTTTTCTCAGGTATTGTTTTATCAAAATTTACCGACGTGTCGACATGCTTTGCATTGGCCAACAGTTGGGTAAACCATTCCAGTCGATAAGCATTATAAAATTATGACGGGGCTAGAACTGTATGTTTGGTAATTGAACACCGAATTATCGGTGTTTAGAAGAGAAAAAAAACGGAGTCATCCAAACTTTCATAAGGGAATCCAGATTACTATTTAGTCAATAAGACTTCTGGACTATTCTACATGCAAAGAGTAACTGCGCTGTAGGGCTTCGTTTTAGGCAGAGAATTGTTTGATTCCTCAGTGATTGGAACAATGGAAGGCATGACACTGTACTTGATTTATTATCTCTGCTCAGCAATAAATAGTTCCTGTTGTAGGTTCATAATACCAAGGATTAGAGGCTGAGGGCAAAGTTCGAAGAAAAGGAAGCATCTCCACCCTTAGGTTACTCCTCTTACCCCGCACCCTACGACCACATCCCGATTCCACTCATATTCCTGTGACCCATTCCCATTCTGCTGGCCGATCTTCCCCCAGCCTCTTGTTCCTGTCCAAATAGAGAAGAAGGGAACACCTGGTTCTATGGCCCACCACCGCAGGGATAAGACACCACTGACGCGGCATGCTACTTAAAGAACTAGACAGACGCAGAACTGCCGTACGCCACGTCACAATATACATGTATTTTCTCGATTGTAGGTTAGGGTCAACTATTTGCACGGCTTTGGGCAAAATGTTGGGCAAATAGCTCCCCTTTTTTATTCACAATGTAAATTAAGCTCTTTATAGCTGATCATAGCCGTTACCGTTATCACGAAGCAGTTTCGATATCACAAAAGAACACCTATCTTTCTAACTGATTTCGAATAATTGACCTCCGTGTTCACTTTAATTACTTGGTTGAGGCAAAGGTTTACCTCCCGAGGAATCAGTTAAGGGTTCTTACCTCCCAAGGAATCAGTTAAGGGTTCTTACCTCCCAAGGAATCAGTTAAGGGTTTTAAATTAATGCTTAAACTTGTTCCAAAATTGACATGTTTAAATTTTTGAAAGAGGAGAAGTTCCTAAAAGCCGTTTCTAAAAACCGTTTGTTTGTTTTTTCGAAATCAACACTTTTTGTAAAAATGGTGACAATAATTACCGTCCATCCGCCTCCATCTGTGTCCATATCACAGTACACACTGAAAGGTTCTTTTTCATCGGCTGGTTGAACTGTGTACACGCCACTGGTGGTCTCACCGTTTGCAAAGGCTTCGGAACAGTCCTTCGGGTGCAAAGGAGGGATGACTGAAAATCACAAAGGCAAAGTACAGTGATCATCCACGTCATTATCGAATTTGAAAATTTACAAGAAATCATTAACCCTTAAAAGTCTCAGCTCCGCAGAAATTCACTCACGAATATAGGGCCATTAAGGTTCAAGAGTCAGATTACAACTTCAAGAATCCTAAGAAATATGCTCAATCCTGGCAGAATATAATTGTTGCTAAAACAAGTAAGTGACATTTAAACCCCTCCCATAATTTTAACAATGATCAAAAAGTCTGATGAAGGCGATTAGTGTAGTCTGTATATTTGCCCCTGAATCACGAACCTACCGGATTTGTTTCTCAGAAGCTCAGCAAGCTCTCTGACTGACCCCTTCAGCTGGTCCAGCTGCAGTTTCATGTCATTCAATTCCGTGGACACGTCATCTACTTTGCTAGCGATGTTTCTTTCCAGTTGAACCAGTCGGGTGGTTGTACTCTGTAGTTCATTGGAAACAATTTCTTGGACCGTGGTACAGTTACAGGCGGTCCCGCAGTATGCTGAACCATCCAGCGGGTTGCCGTTTTGCTGCCAGCGGACTTGTTGAGCCTCCCTGCTACCGGTGGGATCGTCGCTCGCCGTAATGGCGGTGAAAACCCCGAACATGATGAATGCAACAACAAGAGTCTGCCGAAAGGACGCCATGGTGAAAGCTTACTGCACCGTATCTCATTGGAGAATGGTTTTAAGCCTAGATGCCTACCATTTTATAAAGATAATGTGTAACCCTAGCCTTAAGCTAATACTGTTATTGGTGATACTTTTGAGTGCGCAAAACATTTTTTTCCGAAATGGAGACACAAAGACTGTCAATAAATATGGAACCATATTAAATTAAGAAACCATCTGCTTAAAAATATCAAATGATACTTACCCGGTTTACCATAAGATGATACAACGAGATGCAAGATTAGGTTACGTACTATGCTTGTTTTTGTTCCCATAGTGTAATTTATGGAGTTCCGAGTCACAGATAAAATGCCCAGACTGCTCTTTTACTTTTGATGTTCTGGGGTCAGGAGTCCACAGTTTTTTATTTCATTTGTATACATAAATTAAACATTTAGAATTGAACAACATAAAGTTTTAAAATATGTTTCTGGAATACATAGTTTTCAGATTAACCATCACACATTTCGTCTTTCATTGGAATAATTACAAAACATCAAATTTTAACCATTACATATAATTGAGCATTGTTCATATCGTTTGCGATTGGTTTTGATACAAATGAAACATCATAGTCCATATATACTTGTTATTTTTATTTATCAAAATGGCCTACAAATAGTGTTGGCAGATGGGGCGGGTGGAGGAAAAACGAAGCCTCGTTGTGCAGCGGCCACCTTTCTTGGTGGACAGTCTCGACAAAAGTGCCACACCCTGGGATTTCACACAGGCATTAGTGTACAGTTAAAAAACACTTGACCATAAACCCCTTTCCTCGTGCATATTGAGCAAAAGCTGTTGCGTGATCTTCTTCTGTAGTTGCTTGGTGAAAGCAGAGAATGAACGCTTTTTCCTTCTCTGATAAAGACGACTCGTGTCCCATAAATTCGATTAACGCTGTTTCACACTTAATCTTTTTTATTGTTCCTTCTGTTCCTAGACAATGTGCATACAAGTATGGAAAACGTATGATCTGGTGAACCTATGCCGTGCTGCTCATAAAGTATTTTTTTAAATTTTGGTTACATTTTCTCGCAATGCAAACCAGTTTTTCTTCGTCCTTACATTATGTATATAAGGGAAATGCACGCCTCGTTTATTGTCCATAAACCGTGGGTAGGCCGACGAAATTTGCTCGCGTATTCCTTTGGTATTATCTTTATTTTTTATGTTGTAACAAAAACAGAACTTGCGTTGTAGGCCTATGATAATAAGCAAACCGACCTGGACCGAAAGTGGAATAATTGTTCGCAAATCACAAAATCCTACCCTGGCATGGGATGGTGAACATTTTGGATAAAGGAAACTGAGTGTTCGCGTGCTACTTAAGATCCTTTTCCTGCCACACGTTTGCCTCAGACCCGATCATAGATGTTTCCCGGGGGAAACGACTTTTTTTCTCCGGGGGAAATATTTCTGAGGGAGGCACTCATCAGCTTTGTAGTAATAAATATTTAAGAGAGTGGATTATACATTTGAACAGTGTCGATTGTGAGTCTCATTTTTCGGTTTTCATCCCCTTTTATCCCTTGTGTTTTCCGATGTTGTTTTGCCTCCCCATTTGTAATTTGTTCCGGTAGGCATAACAAATATGTTTATGCGTGCGTGCTTAACACGGTCTTCGTGGTTTTTGGTGACCGAATTGGCCCTTCTTAAATGACCTCACTCTGGCCTGTTTTCCCTGAGTTTTCAAGCCCCCATGAGCGCCGCATGTGTTGTACGTGGTACAAAACGGAATTTCATTCTGGTTTATAATGCATTTTTTGCATTATTTGCGGCGCGAATCTAACGGTAACGGCCGATCGTATGGTTCGATACATGCATTTGTACAGAAAAATGTTCAGAAGATACTTAGCTTACTTGTAATTGACCGGACGCTGAGGCCAGTTTTTTCAGTAATGATCTGTCTTCAATAGACTTCTTTAGTTCCTGTTTGAACCAGAAAGCCTCTAAAATCTGGAATTTCCTTGGAGTAAAGTTCCATTCCAAACACTTTGAAAGACAGGAGAGTATCGAGTCAGTCGACTGATTAAACGGTCCATCACGAGCCCATATTTGTGTAAAATGCCAACTGATTGTTATTCAAAATACAGCGGGAAAGAAATTGTCTTATGCATACCAACTGAGGGCGCTATAGTTAATGAGTATGTTTAGGAAAATGAATCCTATTGTACCATATTCGCTAAAATTTCCATCCCCATACCACGGAGTCTCTTTTTCACCTGAAGCCTCTCGGCCTTTTTCCTTTGAGCACCATACACAGTACACTGAGTGTACTGAAGAATTTTAATGCGGAACATCTCAAGAGTTGTTTTACGATATATAGATTTTGAAAATAGGAACGGTTAACTTCATTAGATGCGTTGGGAAAACTTAAAGCCTTTGCAGTGAGTGTCAAAATCGAAGGTACGTTGCCTAGACAAAAGTCGCAACGGATCTCATAAAACAAATGCTTCTTAAAGGACTAGAAAATATCCATCTGGTATAAACGATTATGGGGGGAAATGTATTGTGTACAAATGAGATTTGATAATAAACATGTATATTTAGTAAGAATGGACTCCAAAAAATCCATAAAATCAATGCTCCCTAAATAGGTCTTGTAAAAACAAACTTGATGGCCTTAATGGGAGTTTGTAGTTCCTTTTCGATAATGAATACAAAGAATTTTCAAGACTGTGCAAAAAATGCAAACGAGACAAAACATTTTCTTGAAAGGTGAACGCCACACACCAAATTTTCATAAATGTTTAAAACTTTTTTTCTCTAGTAACCAAATTTGATAAGTCGTCCGTATAAAGGAGTATTTTTCAGGCTGAACTCGTTTGGGAGTAGATTCATCTGCCCTAAAAATATTCCATGCCTCAGCTCAGGTTACATTCAGTGGGAATGGTACTAAGCATAATGCAAGAAAAGCATCTGCTGATCGACAATTTGTTCCAAAATGAGCCGTAACTTGACTGTGAGAAAATGTAATTGACCGGTGTTTTAGGTGTTCCGTTTGTGCCACTGTCACCCTCTAAACCTTCCCACAGCACCATCATTTTAAAATTCTACTTGAGGGGTTTCTGAAAGGATCTTAGTCTCTCCAGCTATGAATAATTTCTTGCACAATGTCAAATGTTCCCTTTCACGAGCGTGCCACAGCTAAAACATAGAGGCCAACATAAACACGGAATCCGTGGACTTAATTATGCGCCATCTTGTTGTGGTCTGACCAATCGTAGTCGTGATTTATGTCCGACGTGTGAGCACTGAAGTCCGACAAGGGTGCACGTGCGTAATGATGCCCGCAGCTAGACAAGTTTTGCATGGGAAAGGACAGACCTTGTTTTTATTGTCCGCATGCCCAATAGGAATGGTTTATTTCAAAGATAGTTTACTGACAAAGTTTATTGGAATTCAAATCGCTTTTTAAACTCTGCCTTTATTTCTTATATAATGGCGTTGACTCGACTGGACAACAATCTTGTAAACACAATTTATTCTGAGCTCTTTCCTAAACAAGGATTGTACCACTAGAACATTTAAGCGTAATGGATTTAAGAATGGAATATGAGAAACAGCAGTATCTTTTCTTTTCTTTTTCTTCCGTCATCCTTGTGTCTGTTATTTTAACATAACCGCGGCTCTAACACGTGTTCCCTTACACAATTCCCATCTCTATTCAGAGTTCCGTATTGTATCTCAGTTTAACCTCTCTAACCCTACCTCCGCCCGTCTAAGGGCATGGACTGATACTTGACACTTTGTGATGGTCAATACACGTTGTGGTCTGGTTTCCTTTTTAGCAGGAAGTTAACCTAGTAAATCGAATAACGTTTCGAATAACACGACAGAAACTTGTCTCAGCCAACATGCTCGTACCCGAAAAATAGAAATTATACCCATATCAAAGTCCAAGACAGCATATTGTTCTTCAAAACCTACTACTTTATTTCATTAGTTCACTACATAATTTTCACACAAACCATGAAACATTTTCGAAGCAAATCCTATTGGGGAGTTATATTTTAGTCTAGCGGGTCACATAGTTTGTATTACACACTGATTAATAATATCTTAATAGAAAACATAGCAAATGTGACATCAATATTGAGTCATTAATTTGAGTATAAACTCTCAGTAACAACCACAGCAAGTCAATACGTTAGTATTTCCTCGTTTTCCACTCTATGTCCGTGCAATGCACTTTTCTCAGCCCGTTCAGGTTTTTTAATTGGGCTTGGTTTATCCATATCGCACAAGAAGATTTCGTTTTGTTTTGTTTGGAATGTTTTTGACGTGGCGTATGGTATGTTTTATGATGCGTTGTGTTCGGTTGAAGTGCGTTACCTATTTGTGTTGTCTTCGATTGCCATGAGTTAAATGCAAAAACAAAAACCAACAAGACGGCTAAAATTTATTTCAGAGGATGAGCCTTTATAAATATGACAGGAAAAAGAGATTAAAATAAACTAAATTCAGCACTATGCTGACGTGTCATGCGACTCCCCATCAATATTTAAAACAGACAAGATTTCATGCTGTATTCAACTTCATTAAATTAAAATTAATTTAGCATGATGGAAAGAAAATGAATTACAATTAATGAAAGAAACGGACATCCTTATAGTCCGTACAGCCACTTCACATATGCACAAAGCCTTGTGAGATTTTGCAAAATCACTTCTCAAAGAAATTACCTCCCCCCCAAAAAAAACAGTTTGAATCCCACTCATGGGTATTCAATTACTCGCTCTTAACATCACACGCAAAACCTCTTGTGTGATGTTGCATAATCCTCTGTGCAGTCATTTTTGGGGTGTCTCATTAGAGAGGAAAACGTTCCAGATGCCATTTTTCAGTGTCAATTTAAAGAATAGGTTTTAGTATGAAGTGATTGAGTGGCTTTTGGCATGTTTACCTTATCAAATATGGAACAGATACTTCAGATGATCATGTAAATATGAAATAATTCACTAATTGCTCTTATTCCACCGCAATCCTTCGCTATGGTTGAGTGGTCATCTACTGAATAATGGAACAATATTCGTAATTCAGTGTTATTCCTCTCCCATAATGTGAGTGTTCTTGTTACATGTTCTTTGATTTCACATGTGCACTAAACGTGTTCCTTTATACACAATTCCCTTTTGTATTGAGAAACATGTTTTTATATACAATGGCTGTCGTGACTGAACTCTTTTAACCCTGTATCCGCTCGTCTAAGGGTATGAACTGAACCTCACTCTTTATGGTGGGCTACCTGATTTCCTTCTTAGCATGAAGGAGCAAAGGTACAAAGCGTATCGAATGAAATTTCCGCTCACTTTTCGGTCTGGTGAAAAAAATCATTTGAAGAATACAGTTCACTCTTCAAACAATGTATTATATTACTAAAGTTAGTAACATTATATCCCTGGAGAGAATTGCCGTGCATACCCAAAACTTAGAGGTATTTAGGGTATCCGTAAAACGACCCACTGCAAAACGCTTGATGACCTCAAAGATAATAGAATAAAGTTAATTTTAAATGGTTGTTTCAAATGGTTAAAAAAAAGACTAGAATAATTATTTATCTTGTACATATCTTAACTTGTACCAAGAAGCATGATAAGACTTCCGGAGGTATACGTCGAGGGTTGAATGTTAGTGGCGAACCATGTGTCTGGTTTTAACATTATGGTTTCTCCCAAATTTACGATTTGAAATTTTACTTCCGTGATCTTTTGCGGGAGGGTCGTTCATCAGAGACATCCTTGACTAGGGCACTGATTAACACTCTGTAGTCGACTACACGGTTTGAATTTGACCATATAAATTTAAACACGAGTGCAGACACCCAAACAAGCCAGAACATCATTCACACGCACACATAAAGTTAAAAGACGTTTGGGAGATTTAAAGCTACATTTATTAAGCCATCACTAAGGCCCGTTTCAGGCGTCGTGCTTCTGCCGTGTCGAGCTAAATTGAACTTGGCGCGGCAGTAGCGCAACATAAGCACGGCGGTGGTTTCAAATTAACGTCAAACTTAATTTAAACTATGTAGTCTAGCTTAAATACATCCAATATGGCGGACCAACACAGCAAAAAGGGTGGCTTTGTTCTCTTAAATAAGATTTGAGCTGCTAGAAAAAAAAATTTGCTGCAGCAGATACTTCTCACTCAGGTATTGCTTTCCCGCAGAAGAGCCCTTATATTGTGTGTTATAGCTCTTTGCTGACATCGCTCCGAGAGAACATGACAGTGCCTCGATCCTGCCGACGCCTCAATAGAAACATAATCAGACATCATTGACATTGTCGTCGTCGTCGATGTCGTCATTGTCTGTCGAACCTAATGTACATGTTTTGTCGTCCTCCGCCTGTGGGTGCAGTGTCCCAATTTAAAGGAATTTCTCCGCCAGGCCGAGGTGCACAAAAAGTACCCCTACAGATGCTTTCAAACAGAGGGGTTTGTTTGAGTCAAGAAATGGTGGGATTGTGTCAGTATGGCCTAGGGATCATCTCTGTAGATTCAGGGGCACCCATCGGGGGGGGGGGTGAGTTTGTTTTGGGCGGATAATTAAAAAATTCATTGGTTAATCTACTAAAAATTGAAAATCCAATGAAATCTGAAGGTTTTTTGTTTGAGAGGCGTCAGGGACTTCAGTTGCCTGCCATGGGGCTCCAAACTTGGTTGATTTTAAAGGCTATTTTCAATGGAGCTTGAATTGGTTCAGTGCACCCCTGTGTATCGTGCGTATCCTCCATTTAAGTCGCCATGTTTGTTGATAGTGATAGTTTGTTTACATTTCCTTCCTCGTACGCTCGTTGGAGCATGCGCATTCCGAATTATGTGCGCCAACTTCGAATTGAAATTGTATTCGACACGGCAGAAGCACGACGTTTGAAACTGTGCCGAGCTTGTGCCATTCAAAATGGCAGAAGCACGGCAGACCCTGTCTTGCTAAGTGCTTCTTGCCGAGCCAAAATCAAGTTGCCGAGCCGAATGGTTTCAAAGGTCGTGCTTCTGCCGTGCTAAATTAAAAAAAAATCAATTTATTTAAGTTCGACACGGCAGAAGCACGTCGCGACGTCTGAAACGGGCCTAATTCTGCTCAAGCCTCCACATAATTCTTGAGCCAATTACAATGTATTATTGGGCATGTCTGTCATATGACATATTATATAAAAAGTGTGCCTACTAACGCTACTGGAATTAGGTGGAACAAGTGTGCAACCCATCAGCTCCCTTCAGAACGATTCAAACTTATTTCTTGCGAACAGACATCCGAGAAAAAATTTTCATAAGATAAAACAAATTTCTGGTATCATGTTTCCGGCTTGCTGGTCTCATATTATGATCATTCATCCACAACAGGTAAGAAATACACAAAACTCTTACTTAAGAAACCACACTATTTTGGCGACATAAATTTGGTATATTACTGTATGCCTAGGCTTGAGACCTTATTTTAGTTCCAATAGTAAGTTGAGTTCTTTCCACTTGTTTGAGTAACAGTTACATGACTGAGGTGATATAAACTGACAACTGCTTGCACTTCATTTGGCGTGCTGTAGAGTCACGTTCACGATGAGTTACAACCGCAGCACAATATCGTCACAACGCCTGTAATTTCGATTCTCACAAGGGCCCTTAGGCGTGCTCGCCTGAGCTCATAGTTAAGAAACACGGGACGTGCCCCCCGGTCGTATGTACACTTGCATCCAAAATTCCATATTCAAACTGGAATGCATTAAGACTGTACATAACTACGTTGACCGTTTCTTTGGAAGAACAGGCAAATGCTGTTCATCCAAACGGATCGATGAATTCTTAAAAGGAAACTATGAAGTAAATCCATAGAAATAGGGTTTACTCTTCTGACGCCACAGTGGTGGTTTTCCTACAAGTGGCATTTATAACTAAAGGCGAGCATGCTTAAGGGCCTTTGCGATAAAGGAAAAAATCACAAAATGTTAAAAATCCCACGCAGCTATCAGACCTCTAGATAATAATAGACGTACGTTACTAAATAGTTTACAAAATGCTATTTAGAATTAAGGGACCACAAGAAAATTGAGGGGAATCGAAACCAGTAAATGGGTGTCATTTTCTGCTAACTGTGACCACCCATACAAGTTGCATGCAAAATGGGAGTGGCCTGTATACACAACGCAAGTGATCTGGAGGCAGCACAAAGACTGGCCACTAAGTCTTATAATACCGGGAAAGCAACATTTCTACGTCCTACCACTTTGCAATCGACTGCAAAAAATTAACTGTTAATCACTTTTGTCAAAATCCCTAGTTGGAGGATTGATCATTCACTCTCAGGACGAGGTCATCTACTGCGATTAAAATCCTCAGACTTTGAAAAAGTTTCATAAATACCTTAAACAGTTTAGCCATCCTGTTACATACCCGGTCTTTTAGGTTAACAGTAATTAAAAACAATTAGTCCACGTGAAATATTTCAAAATAACAATAAATATGTAACCATTTCAAAAACATCTTAAATTTCATATTTACCCATTAATTGTGACCCCAAAATGAATAAAAAGATCCTGCATTTCCCCACCCACAAAAAACCCCTTACCAGCTGTTTTGCAAACGGTAGGACTTTGTCTTTTAAGCTCTACCTGAACTAACATAGTGTTTATCTGTGGGCCAAGCTACATCAACCACAATGTGGTCTATTGAAGCGTGCGATGCTGCACATGTTGTGCGCAATGCACATTGTACATGTCAGCACTCTGGCGATGACGTCATTATGGGAACGCGAACGACCAAAGGGGGATTTTTGTGGGTGGGGAAACGCAGCATCATTTTATTCATTTTGGGGACACAATTAATTTACGATTTTTCGAATTGGTTACATATTTTTGTTAGTTTAAAATGCTTCACGTGAACTAAATGTTTTCTATTTCTTCCTTTAACAACCCTCTTGTTAGTTGAAGAACATAACCAGTCCAGTGTGTGATGGTGGTGTGTTGTCTATATTGACTCCTTTTGACTCTCAGGCTAAAACGGTATTTATGGATTGGAATAAATGTGTGATTAACCGGTCTTAAGCACATGCTTAAAACCAGCCAGGCACACGTGCATAGCTCAAGTAGCATGAACCACACGCCTACCAATCTCCACATAAGGACATTGTTCAGGACGTTCCCAAGAGCATACTGTACTCCATAAAAATGGTTGGAGAATCGTTTGAAATGTGCAATTATTGAGTATGCTTTGACTTTCTGACTAAAAAAGGTATTTATGAATGGGAATAGGGTAAATAATGCTTAGCTGTAATGTTTAAGACTGGGCCCTAGGGAATGGATCCTGATAATAGCCTCGCTTGCGGCTTAGGTATTTGTCACGTCCATTCTCCCCATCTTGAAATTTGAAGACCACCCAGGCACACGTTTGTTGTCTTGATAAATCCAAAGCGTTTACCGAGTTGCCGTCAAATATGCAAAGAGGCTGGCCTGGAAATGGAAGTTCATTGTTGAAGGCTACTTCAATCGGTCTCCAGTGTATGTGACCGGGATTGGTTAATAAAGGAAGAGCACCGACCTTTGTCTTTATAAACTCGTCAACATAAGAAGTGACTACCAATCTTCTCCCAGATATTGTAAAGTCATCTTTCAGCATGAAGTCGGTTCAGCATTTTCCTGTCCTTGCATTTGTCATGTTCGGCCTCGTCACCACGATCACGATTAATGCACACCCCATTATTTCGAGGGGGGTTCCACCTGTCTATGAGCAGCATATAGTCATAAACCCACTCGATGGTCCCTCGTGCCCCGGGAGTTGTTGTAACTGCACTGCGATCCGAGAAATTGTTGCAGACGAACTACAGGACACGAACCTTTGGCTGGCCAAACAAGAAGCAAAAGTCGGTAACAAGGTAGACGGTCTGTCTGCGGAGTTAAATGGCTTTAAACTGCAGCTAGACCAGATAACTGAAACAGTCATTGAGCTCTCCGCGCTCCTGAGAAGCACGACAGGTAGGTTTGCAGTTCATTGAGGAATAATTCATTGGATAAATTGTGCAGGATCTTTTCAAAATTACTAGGTCAGACCTGAACATCCGCTGAGCTGCCTTTTGCGTCATTTATTTTCCTCCAGCATGGAGCAAATGGGTTGAATTTCAACTACCGTTATAGGGTTTTATGATCCTTGTAGTAATATTCCGCATATGGAATTTCGATAGCTGAATATTAAGTAAAACTCTACCATAGGTGAGTTTTTAGGCACGATATATAACTTCTTCGATGTTTTTCAAATCGATGAACATGTTGCTCGTTTTTTTTTAATTGCAGCTGTACCTGTTACCCCTTCAGTGCCCCCTCATACGCCTTCAGTGCCCCCTCTGACGCCTCACAAGGACTGCTCCGACGCCTTGGCAAACGGTGTGACAATCAGTGGTGTGTATACGGTCCAACCTGCAGATCACGAAGGTCCTTTCAAAGTGTACTGTGACATGGAGACAGACGGTGGTGGATGGACGGTATGTTGTGCGTAGTTATTAGTTAGCGCTTAAGGAACTGAAAGCCTGCTCCCCAATCTCCGATTTACTCACCCTGTCATCTGCTGGTAGGGTTGTGCTCGGATAAAATGTGATATATATACAGACCAGATTAATCGAAGAACATTATCAGCACCGGTATACATTATTTCTATGAAATCTTTGGATCATTAAAAGGTTGCATCATTATTTTCTAGTTTTTACGAGAAGTGATGCTGCTAAAGTGTACATTTGTATAGATAATTATACATAAATGCTTTTGTGATGTAATTTACTCACACACGGTGTTGCATAGCCTTATATTTAATCAAATTTTGGTACAGTGTACTACAATTAATACGAGACGTCAGATCCGCAGGATGAAATGCGAGAGGGTAATATAGAACATTAACTTTTTTTACAGGTGTTCCAACGCCGTCAAGACGGCTCTGTTGACTTCTATCGTGACTGGGAGAGCTACCGCCGGGGCTTCGGTGATCTGAACGGCGAGTTCTGGCTCGGCAATGACAACCTGCATCGACTCACCGCTCAGGGCGCGTACCGACTACGTGTCGATCTCGAGGACTTCGAAAACAACACTGTGTATGCCGAGTATGACATGTTTAGTGTTGCTGATGGGAGTGACAACTACCAGTTGACGGTGCAAGGCTACTCCGGAACGGCTGGTAAGTTGTGCTGTTTTGTTTTACGAACTGCTGTGCACGGGAAATGGGTTTCAACTACGGAATCTGAGTATGGTAATATTGTAACATACCTGACTACTCCATTTAGAATTATATTCACGTGTGACTGCACAATGTACTCTTCATGAAAATATGAGTTTCGGAAATGCTCAGTAATAACTATGATTATCAGCCTAACGTGTCTTCATTGTTGTAATTTGCCAATGTTATTATTATCCTACCGATTAATTGCAGGTGATTCCTTGTCATATCATAGTAGTTATCCCTTCAGCACCAAAGACCACGACAACGACGTGGCTGGTTCTGAGTGTGCTTTACTTTACTCCGGTGCTTGGTGGTATGTAGAGTGTCACTACTCAAATCTCAATGGCGTGTACCTGAGTGGGCAGACGGATGTGTACGCTAAGGGTGTGATTTGGGTAACCTGGAAAGGGAATTTCTACTCGCTGAAACGTACTGAGATAAAAATTAAGGTAGCAACTAATTAGCTTAGTGAAGTTAGGGTTAGGGAGAGCCAATTTGTTCACTACACCTTTTTACTTTTGTCGAAATGTCGTGATTCCATTTATCAAGCACTTGCAAGGGAAATGGAAGTAGATTGCCTCGTCCGTGTTATACATTTCAGAAATACGCTATCAACTTCAACTCCCATCGTTTGATTTTCTTTCATTTTACAATTTGTACCCCTTGGTGGTCACTTAGTTATTTCATACATTTATGAGACAGTGTGATCATTTGTGTACATCTCCCTGACTCCCATTTCTTCAATTGCTCCATCGCCTTTTGTACCCATAAGGAGAGTGTGTAGTTTGTAGATCTGACTTTTGTAAAATAACATTTTCTCTTTGTGGACAGAAAGTCCCCAGCGCTTTGTAACATGTTGAGTATGATCTCGACCGCGTCAAGCCTCCTATATCAAGCAAAACGGTAGTTCTGAGGTAACTGTATTAATCCTCTTTGGAATATCACACTTTGACTAGTGTGCTCGCACAGATTCAATGAATTAACGAGGACGTCACTGTTCTTTTTCTATAAAAACAGAATTGCGCAAGACAAGTGTTACACTATTCCCTCTCATGGATAAAAAGATTATAGGCAGGCAGTGCGTACATATGCGCTGGTCCTACCGGGGTGTCATTTGCTGGAGGACAGACACACAAATGCGCGTGAAACGTGATCAAACAAGACGGGATTGCAACAGAGAACGGCGCTGTCTCTCCAATGTGCGTGAACAGCTGCGTGGTCTGGATGTTTATTTCAATTCGATTCGTGTGACTTCATCATGGACCTCTGATTATAAGATCTCACTAGATGAACCGTCAAATTGTCCGTTAACTTCTAGTTCAACAATGCCCTGTAACTTTAATGAGCGGTGGGTTTGGTTTAGACTAATGTTACGTCACTTGTACGAGTCGGATGTCTCCTTGCTCATTAAGTTAGGTCATGTGCAGGGATACGTTTTGCTTTATTTATACCTCACCTTTATTATTTGCACGTCCAAGAGAGACCACGAAAAAAGCACCAAGTCATTTCACAGTGAATAGGCGCGTTTGTTAACGTTTGTGTTTTTTTCCATTCGTTCGAATGTATGAGCTCACATACTGACTCGTACAGACAACCTTGTAGTCTCTATTTCTGCGCCGCCAATGAGGTGACTTTTAATCAGGACAAAAGAGAAGTTCGTCAAAACAGTTTATCAGTTCATGAAAACAGAAAGTTTGTTTACGATTAACAAGAAAATAACGTTTTGCCTCAATATTCTGAAATTATCGATTTTCTATTTGATTTTTCATCTTGTGAAATCGCACACGATATGTACACGGTCACTGCACGTCAATGTTCAGTAGTATCCGTCAATACTACTGAGAAGTAGGCCTATTCCTTGAAGTTTAAATGGCAAGAGAAATTCTACAGCGTACAAACGTAGATTCCTCACCCAATAAAAATAAACGCTGAGGTGAAGTCAGGTTTCAGTGTGCCATTCCGGATTTCTGGTCATGCATGAATCCTCGCGGTAGTGTTGCACACAAAAACATATATCATATAAACATGTACAGTTTCCATTTCCTGATTCAAATTCATTTAAAGTTCAGAATAAAAATAATGATTATTACTGCAGAATTTTCTGATCAAAAGTAAAGTTAACCGTTTTGTAGTGAACATCGTGGGAAAGTAAAATTTCAAAGCAACGGTATGTCACATATTCACAACAATCTAAGATTGAATAAAAATGCGTTTACACAGAGGCCAACATTTCCCAGCTATTGAAAAAGTGAGTAAGTTTAATTGGCTTGATTTGTACATTGCCACTTCTTTCATGATTATTATGTATTTCGCGCTGATTACGGTTTTAGTGTCCAGCAGTGAACAATCCCACACATTGTTTGGCTGATTTTAAATGGTTAATTTAAGCATGAACTACTAGTATTAAGCACGGCAAGCTGAAGTTAAGCAAGACAATTATGCAGAATATAATATTGCAAGTACAGATAAGATTTAAAATTTAGTTTCTGAATATAATAACAGTACCCCCAGGCTGTATGAAGTGTGTTCTTTTTAAAACAAGAAATCTGTTTTTAAAAACAAAGCATTTACAAATTAATTCGCTTAAAGTTAATATTGCAAAAACTGTAGCAGCTAAATAAACAAGCTGATTTTATCTAGATAATCCTATTTTCAGTGCATTGTGCCGTTCATTAAGTTAATTATGTTTGTATTTTAGCTGGGATCCGTTCAACAATGTCAATATTTCTTCAGCAAAGGATAATAATTGATTTCGAAAAACGAATCCTTTTACCATAAGTCTGATGACAGTAATTGAGACAATAATTGGAATTAATTTAATGGTACGACTGTACAATCTGACAAAAGGGGGCAACACTTCATGAATGTCATCCACTGAACTGTGAAGTCCCTTCAACGTCAGCCGATACCGGAGCGATAATTATGTGGTACAGTTTGTCGAGAAGGTAATTTGTTTTATGCATTCATATTACGTGTGCCAATATCGTTTTCTGTCAAGCAAGGCGAATCACTGACACCAGGTGCATGCACCCCTATCGATACTCGGCAATTTAACTCTGATACGTACACAGAGGAATTTTGAAGCATTCTATTCGATGGCACCCTCCATGTTACAGTGCAAAGAAAGCAGTTCTCTGACTAATTCCTCTTCCTGTGACTGATCCTTATGCATTTGCCGTCAATGGGGCCGAGCTATGCCAAGAGAGGGCGCAGTTTCCTTGCCCCTTTAGTAGGAACTTCACTTCGCTGGTTGACGAACAATTATGATATGCATGCCTTGTGTTCTCGTCACTAACAAACAAAACAAACACTCGTGACCGGCATGGCTCTTTCCAACCGATAAAAAGTTGCTTCTACTCAAGGCAGATAGATCAATCACCTAGAAGAAGCATAAGGCAGTAATTCTACCCTGTTGACTGAAAACATTCACACAACTCGATCACACCTCAACTGTGCCTGTTTGAATCGTTTACCCGTTCGTATACAATAAATCAGTTTTCCGGAATGTAAACCAAAGACAATGGATTGTTACTCTTAAAAAAAGTACACTGCCGAAACCGAGGTCAATGATTTCGCAGGAAACGTACGAATTTAGTATATTCACAGCATATGGCCAGTGATTGCATGCATCAGTTGAGTGTTGATGAAGCCCCCCCACACACACACACAATAGAGCCTGAAAGTTGACCCCTGATGGCGCCCTTCCGGAAATCTTGAATATGAAAAATAAAGTGCAAAGATTTTAGAATTTGTAATATTTTTCCTTCATTTACTTCTTTAAAAATCCAACTCGAAAAAGGGACTCAAAAATATCTGCTAGTATATCAATTAAAACAAACTGTAAAATTACCTAACCTAAAAGAGAAATATTCTGCCAAAAAAATGACCTGCAGGATTGTACGCAGATAAACATTTGCACTCTTTAAAAGCCGAAATAGCAAAATATTTTACACACGTTTATAATTTATAAAGTAATTTATTTAATCTGGTTTATTTAATTAAAATATACACGGTAGGCAGCCAGATGAGGGTCGCTGATAAAACCCCGTTTACAATAATCTAGAGGCATCACATATCAGTAAGAAGGGAATATAAAATGATAATAATAAACATAAAGCAGTATTCTACTTCTACAAAAGCTTCTAATATTTTATCTAGCCTTTGCTGTCAACAATTGCGTGATATCAACTCAACGGAATCTGGAACCCATCGACTGCAGATTTTTTTTTGGTGGCTAAATCTTTGCAAGGTTGTACAATCTCGTACTCAAGAAAACGCGGAGTGAAAACAAACGTGCATGAATATGAAGATCTATATCGCCGGACCTAAACGGCCGCTATTTTTTTAACCCATCGATCTCCAGGTGACTTTTCCTAAATATGACTCGAGGAAGACAAAGGTAAAATTCCAACATGAGTGTTCACGGGGTGCTGTCAGTTAGGAATTGTTTATCCAAACGTGATCGGATGGCCCAATGTCAGCCCAAAGGTTCCGGAAGCTCGCCTCGTGACCATTTACTTTCAGGCTCTATGTCGCAAACTTCGCTCCAGCGATGCTGCATTCATCAGAATTTATTTGGGGTCCACGAAACACGGCCCACGTGCTGGCGCCTTGGGAATCGCTACTACATGGAATATTGGGGAGCTCAAAAGCTTTCAACCAGGCCTCGAGAGAAAATGCAGCTAGGTGTTTTTATTCCTCTGTTGTTATTTGTTTGTTGAGGTCCCTATACCTTCTTGTTAACATGGATAGTCGTCTGGCCGCAAGAGTCCGTGCAATGTTCATAATGCTTTTGTTTGACAATTCTTTCAATTATCGGAGTTAAACACAACGGCAGAGGGGGGGGGGAGTTCGGGCGGCTTGTTTTTGTTTGTTCACGAACAGCTCAACTTGTTCGTGAGTCTGCCTCTCGAACGCCTAGAACGTACAATCATTTCTGTCATGGAAAATTATTAATGTTAATTTTGCAAAACTTTCCATTGTCTTCGGCTTTGTAGGCCATATCGATACTTTTTTCGGCTGGTCAAAAATAAATCTCACGAGTTCTTCCGTGTGTTCGAGTAGAATCCTGACGAGGAGGTTATGTGTGATCCTGTTCCGAGAACAGTGTTCTTGGGTTGCGTTCCCGCCGTTCAAGCTTGAACACGAAACCTGTGTCAAGAACAGGCCGCCCGAACTCGACCAATGGTTATGTGAGGGCGCTGTTAATTTTGGGCAGCATGCATTCCTGCGGTGCGCCTAAATGCTCTAGTAACAAACTGCACACGAAGCAAGTCGGGTTCAATAGTTTTGAGAGGGTAATTAGAATGTATCCAGTGCTGAAAATCACCCAAAGCCCCGATTCAGAAGTTTTACAAGCTTTATTCATTTAACCAAGCACAGCTTAGTTGAAGATGGAAAATGGACGGAAAATTGTGGCTGTGACTTTAAATTAAGCATTATTCAGAAACAGCTACATTATTCAAAAACATCAGCCCAGGTCACGGGAAACCTATCGACCCTTTTCAAACGCGCATTGAGTCGACAGATTTGTTGCACTGTGATTGGTTAACGCGTTGCAAACTCTTGGAGGCGCACTGTTGCGAATCGCCGTATTACACATAGCTATATATTTATCACTTTTTTCTCATAAACGTTTCCTTTTTCTCAAGCCAACCCCCTCCCTTAGTTTAAAAAAACAGCAATGAAAATGTAATGGGGAAAGAGATTAAAGCGTCCCAGTTGATTATCAAAGCACTTTATTGGGGGCCCCGAAATATCTATTCTGTTTCAAGTTTTTGTTTCCTCAAATGGTGTCATAAGTTGTTTTGGTCCCAGAAAAATACATCGGAAAGCAAGGGCTGGGTTGGGGAAGGGTTAATTTTCGAAGCTGGTGATACCATTATTCACACGTATATTTGACTAGATGTATTTGGAAGGAGATGCCTGCCTACATATCCCCACCGTCAATTCGGCTGCGCGACTGACCGAAAGCCCAACAACCCAACCCAAGCGACATATTCTGCATCATGGAAATACACCATACGCAGGCAGATGCTCACAATGAATTTACATAGGGGGATGCTCGGGTCGCTCTGGGGAATTTTCTCGGTAAAGGTTGTGAGGATGCACAAGTCCTCAACAAGGATTTGCTCCAGCGCGCTGGTTATAGAGAGCGTTGCAGCGCTGTCTATAACCAGAATGCAACAACACTTAGTAAAGTCATTGTTGGATAGGCTTTTTTACTGATAAATTCATAATTATGCACGCTTGTGCATAAATGCCTTGGCATCAAGAAATGTGAGTGGGCCATTAAAAACGTAAGGGGGTGCGATTTTGATCATTTTCTCACAGGTTTTCTGACCTTGTTAATTCTTGTCTTCAGAAAATCCCACTGAATCGTTTTTGCTATTAGTTTCTAATTTAAGCCGGATTCTTTTTATAGTTCTCTGTATAAAGACTTTTCAATCGTAATTTTTCCTGTGCGTACGAGATTGTCATATCTAAGCCTGTCTCCTTTCGTGCTCGTTATAGTAAAAGCGATTTGTCATGGACCCTTCCCTAATTCATTATTTTCTTGGCCTGAAGAGATAGGGAAATTGCTCTTAAACGTTGTGCCGCTCATACTCACAATGTGAGCAAACCATCCAATCAAAAACTGGGATGACTACCTTGATGCATTCGTTGTTTACACTTGTGGTGAATGTAACGTAAAGCACTCCCCAAAAGATCACACGTACGTACCTCTCTGCATGTTCCTGTAATGAGAAGCTGTTTCCTCCAGCTCTATATGTACAGAAAATCTGATGCCTTGTTTCTTTTATCATCAGATGGTGTGTAGGGTATATATTCCTGTAAAGTGTAACCACTTTCTTCCTGATCTAAGTGCACACGTGGAACTCCTGTTGTGTCTGATATTGCAAGCTCTCCGATAGCATCACCAGAAAAAGTGGGCAGATATAAGCAAACGCGGAAGCATGCCAGGTGCTTGTGGTTTGTGAGAAATGCAGCTGTCCTTGAATTTTCAAAAGGTACGTGACAAGTAATCTACCCACCTTGTTCAATTTAAGGTGTTGATTTCAAACATGATTTCACTTGGAGCCTTTTTATTCAGTTACAGTAATTGACTTTGTCCAAATCAAACGATACATGAATGGGGCAACCAGTATTTACACCCCCTCCACTTCTAAAGCACTTTTTCGAAAAAGCTGAGTCCATGTCGGATTTCAAAAATCCGAGTCCGAATCTGATTTTTTAAAGCACATATATAAGGAGTGGATATCACTAAGTGTTTTTCCCTTTTATGGTAAGTATTCGTGAGTATAAAGAAAGCAAAGGCTGACTGTCAACGTGTTGAACCACAGTATTCTTAACAAATTATTATTAGCCATTTACGAAAAAAAAAAAACGCTCAAAACTGCATCAAGACCACCCGAAAGAAAACTTAGTTTGTAAAACGTACAAAGTCAACTTTCTTTAAGAAAAATATTTTTAATGCATTTTAAACAAAATGAGTTTAAGCTGTAGTTTTTGAAATTTCGTATGCATAATTATTCTTTTTTTTCAAGACGTATGTGTCACAGATTGCATTCAGAAATTAATGCTAAATGTGAGATTACATTGTGCTTCGCTGGGGTTTACACGCAGCGCCATCACATTTTTTGTTTGGAGTTACAATCATGCGACGTTATGCGACAGCAGACGTCTCGGGGAGGTGTTAGATGGCCAGACTATTTTTTTGAAGGGGGGGGGTTAATGATCTCTGTATTACTAATCATCGCTCTACTCAACCCCAGTCTCTTTGACGATGGTACTTTTTCATTTTGTTTTAGTGTCGATGTCAATCAGTGTTATTATTTATTATTAATTAATTAATTCTGGTAACGACGCCAAAGGTTCCACAAAGGCGCACTGGGCACTCCAGCTAGCAAGAAACCTGTAAAGAGGAGACAATGAGAAGCAGTTACAGATTTTAAGGTGGGAGGAAAACCCCCAGAGGAATATTCTGGGTAAAACCCACGGAATCAGGTAGGGGCTGAAAACCCAATTCTCATGTAGACCGAGCCAGGATTCGAACCCGGGCTGCAGAGGTGAAATGCGAGGAAAGAACCACCACGTCAACCCGACTCTTCTTAATGCAACAACATCATTCTATATTTGCACTCATTGGATCCTGCTCGAGGAAAATAACCTTTTCTAAGTTACACTAAATGTTACATGTGTATTTTCAACAGCAAACCCGCCAGAGGGTTGTATCTGCTTCCTCCTCTTGTTTGTTTGTTTGTTTGTTTGTTTTGTTTTGTTTAATTCTTCTGTGAACCTCGATAACAGTGTCCCGCAGTTCCTTTGCACTTACACGTTTAAATTCCGTAAATCGGAGGGCGAATGGTACGTGTCCATTTAAATTTCACACACAGTTTGTTACATGGAAGCAGCCAATGGCACTATCAGATTTGTAATCTTAGAAAAAATCGGCACCTTTTCTATGGTCATTGGCCATTACTGACTGTTATTCGCAAACGTCGCACAAGTAATATCTTTAATAACCTGCTGCTAGCAATGTACAGACCATTTCCTCCTTGATTATGCCAGTAAACACGACAAAACACCATTACCTTTTTTGTACCCTGGATCCAAACCTTAACTTTAAGTTTATTGGTCCAAGTTTATTAATTGACTTTTGCTGAGGACATCAAGTGTATCGCTATCAGGGGCGAAGCCAGGCCTTGGAATGACATTTTCTATAAAACGACTATGCATTTGACTTTTCTCATTCCCCAACGATGGATACTCCATTGAATGCACTCCATAGGTCAGGGGAATGTACTCATATAAATGTTTACTCTGTCTCTGCTTAAATCTCCAATTCGTCATTCTTAAGTGTGCCTGTCCTTATTGGATGTTTCATATCAGCTGCACTCTCAGTAATGTTGTGGCTACTTAATCTGCAATCGCAAGTCACGGCTAATGCAACCAACCCTGTTCTCTCGTAACGTAAAGCACAAGCTTTTCCCTTTCGGCATTTATGTACCTTAGGCCTATTTTGTACCACATCAACTTCTGTGTTTTGACTTTAGTTTGCCGAGTGCAAAACAAGTGATTTTCAAGATTTTGAAGACTACGTAAAACTGCGATTAAGCATTGTGGCGGCCACATCAGCGATATCTGGAATGCAATCCACAAACAATCCATTCAGAAACCCAGACGACGAGTTTCAGAATTTATGTTGAATAACCTACCACATTATAACGTCTGGAAAGCGCTCAAGAAAGATCACGTTTTTGTAATCTACTCTGGCAATGCATTTCCTGTTATGTGAATCATGATGTTCGTGCCGTAAACATATAATCCCATGGTACCACGCCGAACGTGAACTACCACTGCGTCTATACGCATTGAGTCTTTGCTGGGGTCGCCAAAACTAGGAGACTGCAGAAGATCACTTACAGGCAGATGCGGAAGCGTGGTCATGTGTCTGTTTGTGGTGAACTGGAGAAAGTTTGGCAAGAAATTCATGAAAAATCATTAGCTCTTGAGCATTTCAAGGTTTTCATATTGGGTTTGCTTTAGTTTATAGTTTAGTATTGAAGAAATACAAACTCTTGCAATTAATTAGTATTGCAACAATGATGGCACACTAATGCAAATTTGCAGTCAGCATTAATAAATTTAACGTTAATGTTGCACATTCTAATTAGGTTTTGCTTGAAGAGAAAAACCTGTGGCTGCGGTAAAACCCTTGTTCAGCTTGAGAAGAAAACCTTGAACTCGCATGCATGTGTCACTAGATATACAGTGCGTTGGAGCATATAGTCTTCAATTATATTTCACATAACAGTTAGGCCTTTGTTTGATGTAATTATTTAAGTTGACTTATTTATCATTGCTCTAAAGCTCTGGCGAGAAAATAACTCACGCTCAAAAACGACTTTCAACTAATGAAGAGCCCATTAATACATTTGGTTAAGGTAAAAAGCCTACAGACTTTTATTTCTGACTCCGATTCTCTTTCTGAAGCTGATCGAACAAATTTTACTCACATGTACAACTATTGATTAATCGGCTAGAGGAAAAGAACAGTAGCCGTCAAGTCCCATGTGAATAAAGACCACAATGCAGTGGTAAAGACACATAGCTTTAATCGGGAGTAGGCGGCTCCACTTGGGGAGGAAAGTGACCCACAGTCGCCAGAAATGCACAACTATACAAGATGTCTACAGTGACAAGAAGGGTCAGAAAAGGACACAGTGCTCTTCAATGTCCCATCTGGCAATATCTTCTGATCGTTATGTTGCAATAGAGATGCAGGATTTCCCGTAATATAAGTGATTATTGTGTCCTCATTTGCACGCGACCTTAGCTGTGTTGTACGGTTTATGTGCCGGGTGGAAACTTTGTGCATGCCCACAACACTCTTCCAACATCATCATTATGTTTTGATAGATCTTCTATTTAAGTAATCGTTTACTGATCACTGCCAAAATAGGTTTTAAGAAATGGTTCATAATGAGTGCAGCCTACTTTGTTGAGAAATAGGAATGATCACGAACCATTATCGTTTTCTTTAATTCCACCTATATGAACGGAGGCCAAAGTAAACCTCTAGAATGGCAATGCCAGCCGCATGTTATTGAGAGAATACTAGCACACCTTACGAAGAGACAAAACCCCGTTGAAAAAGCTTGGTATACAGTATATTCTGGATTCAGTGGACCCCACGCCATGTGTCCTTAATTACCAATGCTATTTGCAGTAAACGGTGTCGAAATCAATTCACAAGCTCGACAATGTAACTTTCTGTATTACTGAAGACGGACAAAAATAATGCCCTCCAATGTTCTGTTTTGAAACCTCGGTAAGTTAATCCGCTAAAACGATTAGACGTCCCATTACAGACCTTTTTCATAACTAAATGTAAAGAATACCACCACATGTGGACCGCCTTTGCCAACGGTGATCTCATAATATTCCAACAGACAGCTTCAGCCACGTGCAACCGGTTGTACGAACACTGCATGCTTGACTAGTTTATCTTGAATTGGTAGATTACCATCACAACACATCTTAGGTCTAGCGCGATCGTGACATCCCAGGAAAAAAAGTCTACAAAGAGCGTGAGGAAAGGTCCTTGTCTTAATAGAAATAAAACTGTTCATTAAACGACAAATCACGATCATTTGCTTCAACTCTCCGCACAGCTATGTTGACTACAAGGGGCCCATTTCAAGACATATGAAGAAGGAAATATCAGCAAAGAAATATCTAAATGTATTTTATGTTTCATACGGAAACTTTTTCTTTTAATTTCAATGTCATTTATTAAAATTATTAAACGGTGATTCCATACAGTGAGTATACTCTGCCCATAAACCAAGTCATACAATGAGGAGGTGGCAACCATACGAAGGTTACAAGAATGCTGATTTTTAATGCAGCCGGGATTTACATAGCTTTTATTCTCAGTATGATGGAAGTCAGATATAACTGGTGTTCGCCTAAACAGGTTTCCTGAACGTTTACGGGTGCTGGAGTCGGATGCAACTTCCCTGTTGTTTATTGATGATTTCTTCGAGGTGACAGATTGGCACCCATTGTATCATGTAGGGTCACCAGATTGTGATTTGTCGACACAGGTTACGTCACTCACGTGAATCTATTCAGAGTGAAACGCAACTTACTGCTTACGATAGTTATGGGGCAGGTATAGACGTCTTCAATAGTATTTTGTGGACATCTATAGGCTCACAACCATTCGCCAATGAGATATTGTGAAGTCATGACGTCGTTTCAGCAGACTCTCGTCGTTGCATTCATGATATTCTGGGTTTTCACCACCAACACGGTGAGGGCTCGACCCGTCGGTAGGATTGGGGCTGAACCCGTCTACCAGCAGCAAATTATCATTAACCCGCTGGAAGATGAAACGTACTCCGGGACCAACTGTAACTGCTCCACGATCCAAGAAATTGTTTCTGATGTAATACAGAATACGACTTGCCAGCTGGCTGAGCTAGAAACAAACATCGCTAGCAAAGTAGACGGCGTGTCTGCAGAGTTGACTGACGTCAAACTACAGCTAGACCAGATAAAGGAATCCGTCAGTGAGCTTACTGAGCTCCTGAAAAATGCAACAGGTGATCTTGTGGTTCAATTACTAATGTATAAACTTATCAAACCATCTTGAGTCTTCATGTTTTTAAAATTCATTTGAAGTAAATTTTACGGAATCGTATTGCCAGCAAATATTTTTCGCAAGAGTCGGCAAACTAAATTTTGACTAATTTTTTTTCAGAATTCATGTGAAAATTGAACGTCAGTGGTGCAGTTCCTGGGTAAAACCCCACAGATGTGAGCTTTCAGGAAATATTTCAGTTCATTAATTAATGATGTTAATAAAACATTGCAATGGTTTGCTTTTTGTGATTTTCAGTTACCCCTCCTCGGACTCCCAAGGACTGTTCTGAAGCATTCGCTAACGGTGTGACTACCAGTGGTGTGTACACAATTCAACCAGTCGATGCTGAAGGGCCGTTCAGTGTGTACTGTGATATGGAGACAGATGGAGGTGGATGGACGGTAAGTTATGAGCAGCTGTACGGGGCTCATCATTAACTTTGATTAAATGGAGAATAGGCCATTATTCGCCCAGTATTTTTAACTTGTGCAAATAGTCAGTAGCACCAAAAACTAAAAAAAAATCACACAAATTGGTTAGAGGAGTTTCCCCAATATTTATTCAAAACAAAGTTATTTGAACAAGGTTGGCAAAGGTGGTAAACCAAAACTTGAGAAAATTTTCAAGCAAAATTTGAAACCAGCAAATAGTAATATTATGTTCCAAATATTTAAACACCTGTCGTGTATAAAGCGATATAACTGTGTCCATGCTCTGGGCAAGGTCTATTTAACATTAGTCAGTTGTGTTTTTCCGAAGTTTATGGAATGGTAAAATAAATAGTCATGCTCGGTTTGGGAAATGCATTCTATAAAATTATTGTAAAGCTCCTGTTCAAACAAATTTAGAATGAAAATAATACTCCACAGATAAGATTTGCTAAACAAAAATGAACATATGGTTTAGAAATCTTCAAGCTGATCTAACTGCACATTGGTTTGAATTTGACACTCAAATTCTGTATATCTGCGTCATCCCACGGGTCTCTGCGCCTTCTTCACGGGAGTCCAGGAAGGACCGACTGGTTTGCCTCGTGTGCTG